TATTCAATCCTTAGCATATAGACGAGTTCAAAATAAGACTACCAATAAAATTGTTAAATTCATATTTGTAAATTTTTGATTAATTATATAGTAATAATTCGTTTTAAAAAAAACTAAAATTTTCAATATAAAAATAAATTTTATTAAAAGTATATTTATTTAAAAAAGAATAAGAAGTTTCACCTCTTCTTTTTTAAACCATGATTTTCTTTATGCAAAATTTTTACCAAAAATTTACAACAACATCAGTATACTATGAAACATAACAAAAAATTGTATACAAGACAAGATAATGTGCCTTTATCATACATACGTTCGATTTCATATAAATATATTCATTATCCATAACTAATGACCAGAATAATGCGTATAAAGGATACCGCAATGTAGCATCTCCAAAATTTGAGCGCACTATGCTACTAAATATGTTTGTAAATCTGCATCTAATTCAACCGCTGCATCTAATTCACCAATGGATCAGAACTGTTTACTTACTAAGTTGGCTATTATATACGTATCCTAGCCCGCGTTCAGTAACTTCCGTCAGCCAGCATGATCAGTGGTTTACTGTCATCAGTTAGTAGTTTCAAATGCCTTAATATCGTTTATCATCAGATCCTTCCAAAGATAAAGCGGACATCCTCTACCGCGTTTTCTACCAGCGGGTAGAAAGTTAAACACCTTCCTAACCAGTGTACTTTCTTTTATTCGCAAGATGTGATCAAGCTAGCAAAGTATCTAAATTTCTATACGCTTAACTATATTTATGTCGCGGCATTTTCCACACAGCTTAACGTTCCATCTAATTCGAGACTCGTTGTCTACGTGTAAGGGGCTATAGATCTTATAAAGAATTTATGACTATTGTTGTAACGTCTTTCGATGACTGTTGGGATTTATCCAAGCTTCGGCACTATACAGCAGAACAGAATAACCAGTTGGTGGAATCAACAGATTTTTGTAATTTTTATTTATTGATTAGCTATTGGCAAGACTAATTCTTCATTTAGTTTCTAGACTGACCTCGTTTTTGGTGTTTACATTAAATGAGTAGTACATAACTAAAAAAGAGGCACTGACATTCATAGACCGATATTTAAAATACACTATACAACCACGCGCTTGCAGCATAACCCGCCCACTCTACTACACCCATTCTAGTACACCCATTCTACGCCCATGTTTTCTGGCTAAAATAAACCTAGTCTGTTAGGTTTTAAGCCTCTCGCTCAGATTTCTCTCCACTGATTACTGGAATAATCGATTCATTTCAAAGATGTGATTTTAGTAGGTTCAAATTTCACACTGTGGCTTTTGAAAACTTCTTCACAATTTCTCAGGCAGAAGTGTGTAATATAAAAATCTGTGCTTAGAATGCTTTAGACGTCAGTACAAAAATGGAATACCATAAATTGGATCGAAACTACTAGTATGAACAATGATATACTTATATATAAAATATTCAAATTGATACTTGCAAACTAACAATAAATAAGTTGTCGAAGAACAAGTGTGGTTTTAATAAATACTCGATATAATGAATCCTCTAAACAACATACATTACAATAACATTCTATCCTAAAAATGAGTTTCAAATATGGAAGCCATTTGAAATAACGAAAGACGTTGACTTTATATATTTCGCGTTAAACTGAGAGTCAACTATATAGAAAATATGAAGTATGTAAGTATATGGAAGAGGAGGACTAATTCTTTGTCGTATGAAAAACCGTTTATGATAAAGTTAGGATTAATAACAATCGTGTGTATACAATTTACCCCAACACACGCTCTACCAATACTTAAGATGGATGGGTGGATGGGTCATCGCCTATAATAAATAGACGCCTTAAACACACTATTTTGTTTAATAAAATAAAAATTCATTAAAAAATATTTTTTTAAATTTAATTGCGTAGCCTTAAGCATTCATAACAAATGAAATAAACTATAATGCTACTTGCATTAGTACAAATTAACTGAATAAGTTAATATCAGTTGCAAATTTCAAATAAGTGAATAATAAGATAGCAATTTTCTGATTGTAATTGCAACATCAGAATTCCATCAACTATTCGAACGTTTTATTGGAATTTTATTGCTGAGAGGCACGCAATAAAAAAAATTCAAAATCAAATCGTATAAGTCAGGTGTCAGCAATCTTGTTTACACGACACCATTTCTTCAAGACCATAAAAGATTCCAACAAAAACTACATATGAATAACCAATGAGATTACTCGTTTATTATTGGTAAAGATTGTATGTTGTATGTCTTCAATTTATGCTTTAGAGATACTTTATAATATATACAGTGAGACGTATTCTTTATAGACATCCTATTTTTGTTGATAGATTTTTCAATGAGTCTTTGAAACGTATTCTTTATAGACATCCTATTTTTGTTGATAGATTTTTCAATGAGTCTTTGAGACGTATTCTTTATAGACATCCTCTTTTTGTTGGTAGGTTTTTCAATGAGTCTTCATAATTTTTTTATACAAGTAAAAAATATTTTCTCACGAGGTCCTATAAGAGTAGATTGTTTTTTCAATATAATGGCAATTGAAGAGCTTATAATTTTTCTGTCAATTAAATCCATTTCTCTGTTAAATTTGAAAAATCATCACTCAAAGACTTACATCCAAAATAAATATTCAATAAAATTTTCGTAGAGTGGTACTCGTACGCTACACAATTAATAGGCCTCTGTTTCTCCTAATAGAAAATATCTCTGTTAAGAAGAGAAATTTTTAGAACATGAGACCCAACGGTATTGATTCAACCGCAGATAGTGATTTGAAGTAACTGATAGCAAAAATTCTTCAAAACAGAGAGACGGATCATATTGTTACCGTCATTAGTGACCGGAATAGAGACATAAATAAGATTTCTGTATTGCATATTTGGGTGCACATGTTTTAAACTTTTTTTGTTTTAACGAGAATGTGCTAATATTGTCAGTTATTAAATAAACCGTAGATTTATCGTAGCAATTATATGATGACCACATTGATTTAAAAATGGTACTGTGGTGTGAACACTTAAATTATGTTATCATCTAATTAAATTTTACGACCATAGACTATGTATAGAAGTATTTGATCATTGACCAAAGTCGACAAATCAACAATAATTTGAGACTTGGTAGCAAACGCTGAGTGTATCATGCATTAAAACTGGGACTTAAGGTTTACACTTACAATTTTGTGTCATGTGTGTGGTCTAGCGCAACACAGTTGGTGTTCAGATATTCAATAGACTCTTACTCATCACAGCAGAATCTGCAAATATTTGTGTCAGGCCACAGGCGTCGTGACCTATAAGTACACTAGAGAGTGACTTTAGACTCTTCTTGTTTAGACTGAGAACGATGATTGATTCTTTAACAAGTTTGGAGTTATAGTATGTATGTATCTCAAAAACCTTTATTAAATGTATCAAGAAGCTTAAAAAATAAAATATCTCTCTAAAAATATTTGATTCATTTGCTTAGAGTGTGTTAGCCTATATATATATATATCACGCAGAAATTGGTATTCTGCGAATTGAATATTTTTAAGAAAAAACGGTTTCTAGATTTTTTGTAAAATGTTCAGTAAACATGGTTTATACTCATACTAAAATCACAAATTTAAAGTAAGTCAATATAAACATGAACATTGCATTCATATATGTAGAATCTAGATAAAAATAAAAATTTGCATTAACGGGGTACAATGACAGTTACACCGTAGACTCTAGTATATAGTGTACTGGTATTATAATTTAATTAGCCATCGTATAGGTGTGTTGAAAACATCGAAGGATTGAATTGTTCAACAAATTTGATAACAAAAATTTATGCGACATTATGCAATTATGTAAATTGTTGCAACGACAACGACAACGACAACAGCAACAGCAGCAGCAACAATTGCAACTGCAACAATTGGTGAATTGCAATTAAATTCCTTGTCCAATACAAAATAAAAAAGTGGAATGAAATGGAAATGCCATGCACCGCAATTATCCGACTGGTTCAAGAGATATTAACCGCATGATAGGCCCGACAAACGAACTACATTGCCGCACATAAATTGCAACAAATTAGCGCCACATGCAGTGCGGCGTGACTGCAAATGTCGCAGATGTCGCAGAAGTCGGGGTGTTTATACGGCGGGAACACACTTCGCAAGCATGCAATTTCGATTTCGTATGTTTCGTATGCGAGGGCTGAGAGAGCTGAGAGGCACATGGGACGGGACATAAACGCGGGTGTTGTCGAGATTGGAAGTGATTCTTTTTTGTTGCTGTTTAATTTTCGTGTTGCAGCTGACATACTAGCAATGATAATAAATTTTAATCTTGTTGACATTTGACTACCACAATAGCAAAATTTGTAGAATATCACTTCGTAAAGAAGAAATAATGTTTAGGATGAGTGCATGTCCAAATAATAACTGCATTCTTAATTGCAATTGCAATGCAAAAGTTCGTTTTCTTTGTAAAAACGTAATTAAATCAAAATCATCCATTTAAAAGTAAATCGTTAACAAATTTTTTTAATATTATTTTGAATTCATTTGAATTCACTTTAATGATTTTAAATCAAAATTTATAATTTGTTTTTTTTTTTTTTTTGTTTTTTTTTGTGTTAATTAACATTAAATCAGGTGCGCCAATCAATTTCATTTCAATCATTAAGTCATCGCAGCAAATATTCAAATGCGTCTAAAATGTATTAGCCACTGAAATCATTTATATATTATTTACAATTTTTGTTGGCCATAAAAGTCATCAAATATATGACAGAGAATTTATTTCCATTAGACTAATGCATTGACTTTAAAATTCATGACACGCTTTGAGCAAAATATAAAACTATTTACATGTTTACTTAAGATAGTTTTTACGTCCACAGACATAGTCGCGATGTACTCTGTACTCGTATCGATATTTACTTACATGGTCGCACTTATTACAAATTCAATACGCAATACAATTTTGCCGATAACTCACCTTCTTGCACTAGTTTTTTGCAAACCGGACGTGCATTGACTGATTTGACACCCACTGAATAAGTACAGTTTACATAACTCCAATAACGTTGCTGGTCGGTTATGAATTCGGGTTGAAAGGGATCGTTACAGAATTCCCCATTCGAAACATCGGTGGAACAACGCCAACATCTGAGAATCGCATTTGCTGTAATGAAATAAAAGAAATGTATTATTGACATATATTTCTTGGTGTAATGTTACCATACTCAATACATTCTAATCTATTTATAACGTATAGAACTGTTCAAACTACAAACATTAAATCTATTCATTAAATCTATTACCATTATCGATACATTTAAAAAACCTAGAAGTATTATTTACAAGTGTAGGATAGGTTAGGTTGAGAGGGTATGTGACGATATAATAGTCAGCACATTCACTTTTAAACATTCATTATAATTATTACATTCTAAGCTATTTAGATTGTATAGAACTGTTTAAACTACAAATATTAAATCTATTCTTAGGGATAGAGTTAGCATTACGTATACATTAAAAAACCTAGAAGTATTATTTATAATATAGGATAGGTTAGCATAGAAGAGGTTATCTACCGATATAATAGTCAGCACATTTAATAGGAAATATTTATTGCCTATTATTATGTCCCCAAAGTTGCTTTTATGACTAACCATTTGACTCTCCACATAAAACTAAAGAGAGTTCATTTTTTATTATCTCTGCCATTTAAGTGAAAAAATGATTACCAAGACATTTAGATCGCTTCATCTGTAGTCCTAAACAGAGATAAAATATATCTATTGTCCTCTGTGATATCCTCAAAGTTGCTTGCAAGACAAATATTTTGGAGCTAACGAGATCCGAGAACTCCATTTTCATGTTCTCAGTCACGTCAATGAAAAAATGACCTCCAGGACATTGAGATCACTTTATCTGTAGACGTAGACAAAGATATAGAAGAGAGTTGATAAATACTATCTCTTCGTTTCTTAACCGTGGCAACAACCAAATCTTTTGCGGCCGTGATGGTGAGTATTTCTGTGCTCCAGAACAATTTCCACAACAGGGTAACTCATAAGTAAAGATAAGTACCAAGTAAATGATTTCGATAACATTTAAAAGCATTTAAAAGCTTCTCTAATCATTTCATCTATTATTTTGTCGCATTCAATACTCTACTGATCAGAAAACCAGTTAAAAGAAGCCATTGGTAATGACAACGGAAGCATCACTCCTAGCTTTCAGAAAAACCATACGCTCTAACCTCATACTAGTTAAATTGACCTATCATTTTGTTAGAGAAATTTTAGGTGATGTAGTAAAGAAGATATGAAAATCAACATGTTGTATGGTTGAACCAACATCATACGTCGAGAAAGAATATCTTAAATTCAGATTTAATTAAAATCAGGTTAAATCAACTATATTATTTTACTGAGTGTAGTAATAAAATCGAGTATTGGTGTTGTGAAGTCTGAAACATGTGGTATGTTGGAAATTATAATCGTAGAAGGAAAATTATTTTTAAAGCAGAATTGAGTTTAATCTCAACCAATGCAATTATATCTGCAGTTCTCTCATAGAACTGTGAGCGCAGATTTTAACAATATACTGATATTTTTCATTTTTAATAGTCTCGAAATGACTCCATAATAAACTAATAAGAAAACTTCCATTTTAAGTATGGTACTGTATGGACCAGTAAGACTTAATTGAATTGGCCAGCTTGACTAGCTGATCACCTAATCTCCATCATATTAGTTTAGATGATATTCAATATTATTAAAATTTCATTACTGGCTTGATGAGAAAAGTTACTCTGACCTATTCTATTGTATCAGGCGTAATCAGATATCGAACTAGTTTTACAAAACTTTAATTATTTTTAAAAAATTGATTCAATGACATCCTCCAAATTTTTAGATGTCTGTTATGTGTCTTAATAGAATTTCTCAAATCCTATTATAATGAGTCCTGAAATAAAATCTAATACAAAATTCTAAACTTTTTATTCTACCAATCTACATGATCTAAGAGTCCTTGTCACAGCATAACTTTCGGAACCAATATAGTCATCATGCACTTTCTTTAATAACTCTTTAATTTTATTTGAAAACTAATAAAGTAACACATAGTACAGTCCCGTTGAAACCAAAACTGTTCAAAACGTGTTCTTTCCACATATTAGTTCATGTCTCTGGTCCGGGCGCTATTGGCGTTGAAGCTCTGATCTCTTTACTTAAGAAATATTCTCCAATAAATATACTATAACTATTTGGTGAAGTTAGTCGCATTAACGCCATCGTATTGTGTATTTTTCAGTACAATTGGGTCTTCCTTACACTCCATATGAAAATTTTTTAATTCAATAAATCTACTGAAATAAGGGTAAGTTTTATAGCTTCATGGATTACCACTCTGTAAACATTTTATGCCAAAAGTTTATTTTGGAAGTAGCTCTTCACATGATGATTAGTCAATGTTTGTTTGTATTTTATTGAAATATAGTATCACTAAACTATTTGATCATTATCTTGATCTTATTATTGATCTTATTAATCGCCTTTTAAACAAAACTTACTTAGAGACTTAATGAAGACCCTGTGCAAAGCTCAATATGGTAAAATTAACAATGTGATTTAATTATAAAGGAGTGAATTTGAATTATAATTATGAAAATTATGCTACCTTAATACCTATAAATCAAAGTAGTCACATAAATGCCTTAATTGTATAATGTCTTAATTATTTATGAATCATTATTTTACTCTTTATATAACGAGTTAAACTCACGTAAAATGCCAAGCTAATGAGTTTAATGTTAGCTTAAGATGCCGATTTAGATAAACAACAAATACACAAGTCATTTTTTTTTCATTAAATGATATTTTTATTATTTTTATTCTTCAATAAAAGCTACAATTTTTTTTAAGATAACATATTTACGCATATGTCAATACTAATGCACTTATTCATTGCACCCTTCAAACATTATGCAGACGGCATAACACTGTGTTATAATCTTTGTAACGCTTAAGATATGTAAGATATGTAACTGAAAAAGTAGATTATATTTTACATATACTTGTAGTTTGCTAATGCTAAGTTTATTGTTATAAATTAAGTAAGTCACTAGTCCCCATTACTACAATTAACAAGCTAAGCCGTATATACTTTTTAGCTAACAGATCCCGAGAAAGTGATGAGTCCCTATGACATGCTTGGATACCGACAATTATAGTTAATAATATTTACATTTGTGTTTGTTTATAGCAAAACTAAACATTCTTAACTGAGTCGCAATATACATTACTAATATTATTTTCCTAATAGATACTTTACATTCAGGTGGATGATTTCGGAGATGTACGAGTAATTAATTATACAATAGAAGTTACCTATATTACAGAGTTACCGTGATTCAAATTCGGACGCGTTTCTATTTAGTCTTTTCCTTTGTATTATCTATTTTATTATAATTAGTCCATCTTATCAAAGGTAGATAAAAAAAAACAGCTTAGTTATAAAAATTAATATTGCTTTCTAAAAATATTAACTTAACTAATTCAAACATCTATAAAAAAAAATTTTTTTATTTATAAAATAATTTTTAATAATGAAGACCCCAAAAACATAAGTAATTTCTAGACTCATGATTAGACTTTATTTATTTATTTACCTCAAATATGTATTGTATACCAAATATAGTCAAAATAATAGTATGAAGGGTATTTCAACTCCTATCTAGTCAATTTCAATTGAGTTAGTTATTTTTTATTTTAAGTGGTTAAATTTGAAAAGTTGCATAGACAAGTCATTCGCAAACTAAAGAAATATAAAAAGATTACAGAACAAAAAATTAAATTGTAAAAATTTCAAATGACATTGTCCAATACCCAAAGCATACTGTCTTGTGAATTTGAGTGTCTATTTAAATAGGCCTCCTATAAAAATGTCAAAATTTTCAATTACAAAAAATAATTTTGTCTTATAAATCAAGACTTTAATAGCTAATATTCAAATATCAAAATTTATGTAAATATAAAAAAATGTAATTTAAAAATAATTTTCATTTGATTTATATTGTCAAATTAGTCATAATTTAATTATGAGATTAGCTATGATCTTAAATTATATTATTAAAATGGTTTTATTCAAAATAATGGCAATAATAACTGAAAAGCAATAATTTTATATAGAGTGCTAATCAGGGATCGAAAATAAGATTTTTTTAAAAATTTTTAAGAAAACAGGCAGCAATATACTCATATTTAGGTATATGGATATCATTGTAACAACTTTTATCCTTAATATTATACATGCTTTGGCGTTTCAAAATAAAAGTCAAAAAATAATAATTAAATTTTTCTTTATATTATATTTATCAAAAATAATTATTATCATGTGCCTTTTATTTTTCCACGCAGAAAAAACTCTTACACTCTGCTTTTTATTTTAAAACGCACAAATAATTTTAAAGTTTGCCTTAAAAATATAAAAATCAGGAATGACTTTTATTTTTGAACACAAAAGATAATTCACACGGCATGCCTATTTTGCATGATACAAAACGCGTTTTATATTTTCGTTTTTAAAAACATTAGTTAGGCCACTGTAAGCTATATTTTGTTTTGAAAAACAAAATTTTTGGCTTATATTTTTAAGCCAAAAATAACAATTATTTGTGCGTATTAAAGTAGAAAGCAGAGTGTAAGAGTTTTTTGTGCGTGAAAAAATAAAAAGCACATGATAATAATTATTTTTAAAAAATATAATATAAAGCAAATTTAATTATTTTTTAAGTTTTATTTTAAAATGCGAATGATTAGAGTTATTTGTTTATTTTTCTTTTTTTAATGATAACTGCTACGGTCCCAGGTGGGAATTTTAGATTATTGCAATAGTGTCACTACCACGGAGGTATCAAAAATTGTTCTAACCAACTGTATCACCGCTTTTAAATTTTTTTAAAAAAAAATGTATGCACTTTAAATCAAGAGTTCAATAATTATAGGTTTTAAATACCATTCAAACTATAAAACAAAACACTCTAAAGGACGTGAAGAGGAAAAAATAATTATTCGAATAAACTGACTTTTTCATATATACTATAATACACTTAATAAATGGAAATAGCATTTTTTTCTATTAAAGTGGAAACTTGATTTCCGTTCATTACGC